TGGAATTGAAAGTTCTGACTCTGCTAAAGCAAGTGACACCCAAATAACTTTCGCCTTCTTACTTGCAGATTCCACCAAGAACAGACTAGGGACATCGCAGTTTCTGCATGTTGCAGAGAAAACGACTGTCAGCCCAAGTTCAACACAAGCAATAGTACAGCTATGAAACAATTACTGCCAGAACATAATGTTCCAATACATACAGTGAGTACAATACACGTTGTTGAGGTCTATAGACATGATAAGGATATTTATAAGAAACCCATCTCTCGTATACCTGGATAGTCAATGTCAGAAATAAGTTGGACCAAAATGAAATATGGTTAGAAATATGTGCCTTAAAGACTGCGTAGAAAACTACTTAATTATTCTTATGAATCTGAAAATTTTATACATCAAGATTATTTTAAAATGCTTCCAGATTTAACTTAAATACAGTAATGAATGTTGATGCTTACAATAAATAGCCATTCTCTGCAAAGTGCTAAATATCATGGCAAGAATATAATATTCTCCTGTACATACTATAGACAGAAATGGTAACCATTTGTATATTTGCTTCATGTAAAGTCTCTGACAACAACTACACATTCATATGACTGCAAACTTCTTTTAACTTGCGTTCTTTTTGTAAACATGCCAGAAAAAAACCATATTTTTGCACACTAGTCTGAGAATTACAATAAAGATTTCTTTTTAATGAAAAAGCATTGTGATTTTATTTGAGAATGGCCTTACTAGGTAACTCATCCATTCTAGGTATATACAGGACCTCATTGTTCATATTAGAATATATGTTTTCTTGTTTTTCCAGTTTGGATCATTAAGGAACTGCTCTGGCTCTTATTCCTTAGTTACAAGATAGTTGTTCCCCACGTTCAAATAGAGTTCTTATTTGTTCTCTCATCAGAAAAATAACAAGAACTGTTGCCACTTTCCAGCCTTTATAAAATATGATTGTAAGGCGAGCCTGACAATAGCCTTAATTGTGTGACCTCATTATCATGAATTCAGATGTTTCACTATGTCCTTTTCTCCCCCCACCAAATTTGGAAAACTTTTAGTTATTTTCATCAGCTCAGATTGTTGGAGTTTGCCAAAGAGTCCAGAAAAACCCTACTTCATTTTGGCCCCAATTCAGAAAAGCACTTAAGCATGTGCTTAACTTTTAAACACACGCTTAAGTCCCACTGAACGATGTTAAGCACGTGCTTATGTGCTTTGTTGCATCGAGCCTTTTGGCGGGCATGATGACTTTAGGAATTCTGCAGCCGAGTGGGCGTGGGGCATGCCCGTTTGTGGTCTGATCAGTGCTCTCTGAGTATTGCACAGCACACTCCATTCCCATTGATTTTATTGGGAGAGACAAACACTCAATCTCCTGAAGGAAGTTCTCAGCGCCTTGTTGGATCTGGCCCTTGTCACTTCACTCATAATGCTCCTCCAGCTCTCAGCTGTTTTGCTATAGTGCTAGTGGGTAAGAGGCCCAAAAGTGCCAAAGTCCCTGAGACACAGTGGGAATTTTCTTTGTTTTGTATGAATACTGTTTGTGCCTCAGTTTCCCCTATGCACAGTTAACAAGGTGGCAGGAAAAGGTGGTTTATTCTTTGTAGTGATCCAGGTGTGACTGACAACTGGCTGTCTAGCGTCCCATGCCCATGACAAACCCAGAGGACAATGGCTCGGACATTTGGTGCCTAGCAACTAATGACCCAGAACTGCTGATGCCCTTTCCAGGAAGCTAGCCAGTTTTGGCCAGCGGGAGAACAAAGAACTGAGGTGGATGGCCAGGTGACCTGTTCTGCCGGGAATCAGAACCAAGGATGGAGGAGGGGCCCTTGGGTTAATGGTTAGTGTGGGCTGCTGGAGAGTCATTCCAGTCTGAAGAGGTCGGGGGTGCATTGCTCCCTTTGCATGTGCGAGTCTTCCTCAGGGGTCCAAGTCGAGTGGACTCACTGAGGGGAACTCATGGAGTCAGCCGAGGTGCTGAAGGCTCCAAGGTTCAGACCCAGGAGGTGGTGAAGCCAACGGGTTTACCCCAGTGAGTGTGTGAGAGCACTGGACCTGTAGATCTGTTACAGTCCCATTTTCAAAAGTGAATGAAGCTCTTAGGGCCAGATTTTTAAAGGTATATAGGTGTTTAACTCCCATTGAAATGTTCACCTAAATACCTTTGGGATCTGGGCCTTAGGTTCTTAAGTCACTTAAGTATTTTAGAAAATGTTACTGAGTGTGTAATTTCTGGGAATACAACAAAAGATTTATTGATGAGTTTGAGTTTTGTATGAATGTACACAGCTTCCTTTTGTTGGCCTTCCAAGTTAGAATAGTGCAAGGTTTTCCCCCCTTCAGCCCTCCATCCTGGAGTCATGGACTGTAAGCTGTAAGGTTCTCCTTAACCTCTGAGGATAGGACAAGAAGCAATGCGCATAAATTGCAGCAAGGGAGGTTTAGTTGGATGTTAGGAAAAACTTCCTAACTGTCAGGGTGGTTAAGCACTGGAATAAATTGCCTAGGGAGGTTGTGGAATCTCCATCATTGGAGATTTTGAAGAGCAGGTTAGACAAACGCCTGTCAGGGGTGGTCTAGATAATACTTAGTCTTGCCATGAGCTTAGGGGACTGGACTAGATGACCTCTTGAGGTCCCTTCTAGTCCTACAATTCTATTAATGGGCCAGGCCAGCAGAAGTTGTTTCACTGGGCTGTAATGTTTATGGGCAGATTCCTGCTATCCTCATTACATCCAATTTCCTGTTCATTTTAATGGGAATCTGCACTGTGTAGGGATTTCAGGATTTAGCTCACTGTAGTTTTAACTTTACCATGTGACTTTCAAATGCTTTAATATGATTTAGAGCCAACCGGGGAAAACCACATTCACTTGTTTGTGACACCAATGCACAGCACAAGAAGGGAGCTCAATCACTAGGTTTGACAAACCAGGCCAGTCTGAGCAATGTTTGCTACAGAAAGAAAAAACCCTGGAGGTTAAGGCCATTGATAGCCATGAGAGACAACAGAGAAGCCAGGTAGATTTACTATCTCAGTGCTGAAGCATTTGATTACTATCATTTGTTTAAGCAATCTACCTCAATAGGCAACAACGTTATAACAAGACAAAGGAACAACACCCATAGCTTTTTATGGAGATTGTGGTTCTGTTATCCCTGGGAATGTGTTTAGTTTATGATAATGATGCCCCCTGGCGTGGGCTTTATTGCGCATGTAAAAATTATTTATCATCAGAAGGAAAAGGAGTGCTCTGCAGGAAGAAGATGAAAACAGTTGAGAATATTAAGCAGACATTTAAAAAAATCATGTTTATTAAATTAACTCCTTAGAATTTTTATGCGCTAATGAGTTTAAATAGATTCATACTCTCATCTCTGTGCTATAGAACAAATCCCAAGGGGTGTTTCACATTGACTTGTATATTTTTAATGAACTGGCAGCTTATGCTTAAAAAAGCTAAATGTGTCTAACATATAAAAGAACCCCCATGGACGTATACTTATGAATTGTTTAATTGCTGTACATGATGATAAGATAGGATGATTCTAAATGGCACATGAATACCAGTGCACTTTCTTTCTTGTATTCCTTCACTGAGAATGGTTTAAAACTGCTTGCCTAATGCAAGCCAATGTACTGAGACAGCCCAAGTCACGCTGTTCGACTGCTAAACTTAGACTGCCTACAGAAAGCCAAAAGGATGGTTTTAAGATCTTCCAATAAATAGCAAGAGGTGGTGTTGTCTAAGCCAGCTGGCATAACTCTTGCCATGGAAATCAAGAAAGCTGGTTCTCTGAGACAAATGGAAGAGAAATAATTTGCTATGCTAGAAACATGAAGGACCTGAACCTGTGAAGTGCGGAGTGCCAGTCAAGAGCGCACAGCCATTCGCGGGATCATGCCCCTAGCGAGTACTTGCCTGTTGCCAAAGGGACAGTCAGATTCATTGTGGGGGCTAAGACAGCAGTGTTCCCAACTCTTGTGATCTGATTGTGAATTTCACAATATTTGGTAGGTTGTTGGGTTTTTTTGGTGGAGCCAGGTGAACCCAAGAGAATCTCGGTTTTCATTTAAAAATGAAGTGGGTTTTGAGCCCTCATAGTTGCAGAGAAAAAACCTGAAAACAAGAGTCCTAAGGGTTCTAATGCTAGAAGGCAAATAGAAAGAACCCCAAATGTATTTTTTTTAAATCCCATGATTTTCGGAGGGGAGGGAGAGCTGACTGACATTTTTGCACACTTGGGGTTGCCAATCCTACGTGTGTGTTTGAAAAATATACTTGGGGGGGAGACCATTTTTCTCAAGGAAGCCTACACCCAACTGAAGAAGTGAAGTGTTTAAATAAACATTAGAGTATTAACGATCGTGCAGGCATTTCCTGCATAGAGCTTTGTAAATGAACATTTGGAAGCCTGCTGAATGACCTGTGCTGGTGCTCTCTTTTGGAGGAATTAAAAGATACCATTTTCCACTGTGTGCTTTGCCACTCTGAAACAATCAAGAATACTCCCTGTTATGCAGTAGAATAATTAAAAATTCATTTGGGGCATGATGTATCTGAGAGAGAGAGAGAGAGGCCTTTGCAGGACACAGAAAAGAGAAAGGGCTGCAAAACCAAGAAAGTGGAAACATACAAGGCATGGATGAAAATTAAGTAAGAGAAGATAGGCCCGGGAAGGTGGGGAGAGACATGTTTACGAAAAACACTGAATATCTGAACAGGGAGAGGAGAGAATGCTTCTGTGCACGAGGCTTTTCATTTTTGCATGACTCCTGAGTGATTTTGCTTCTGGAACGTCTCAGGCATCAGTGACTTGTGGGAAGCAGAATGGGCTGCTTCTGTTACAATCAGATGTAAACAGCTTGCACAACTTTTCTTTTTACATTGACGTGCAGCACACGTTTGTAATAACTTTAATTCAGAGGTAGACTTAATTGACTCTCTACCTGAAGAAAGTGAAGTCGTTCTGGCATCATGCCACCTGGTAGCTCCAAGGTGGGCCTACCAGTCACATTGCATAAGGTTGATACACGACCGAGAAGTGGTTGATTTAGCTGTGTTTTATTGAGAGACTTATTATCTGTTAAATGGCAGATTTAGGAATACGCCTCCATACCCTATGAAGTTCAGCAATACCAGCAGAGCCCAAACTTTGAGAGAAAGAGAGAGAATGGGATCTTGCAGCAGGGAGATCATGGCTGTATCAGAATTTTCTGTTTTACAGGGTCAGTACCTCAGTGTCTCATCCTTGTTCTGAACCATTGTTAGTAAACACGCCGTGGGGAATCTGAACCAAATTTCAGCCACTGATTAACATGTGAGTGGAATGATCTCCAGTGTGTATTTTGGGTTTCCATATTGTGGGTTTTTTTGTTTGTTTGTTTGTTTATTTTTTTGAGAAGTTGTGAAAACCAGAATACTGGAAAAGTCTGGTTCCCGCACTGAACCCATTTGCTGCCCCTTGTCGCTGCCTGAGCAGACATCAGAGATAATCAGCCACTCATCACTGACTCTCTCCAATTCATTTGCATACCTGGAGAGCGTCACAATTGCCCAGAATGTCATGGCAATGACTGCCTTGGATGCAGGGGTGCTGGAACTGCTGCGGGTACAGCAGCTGCACCCCCTGGCTTGAAGTGGTTTCCATCCTATCGAGGGTTTACAGTTTTGTTCAATGTCTCTCAGCACCCCCACAGTACAAATTGTTCCAGTGTCACTGCTTGGATGACTAGTTTGCCTCAGATTACCGTAACATTACAAAGAGAAGTCCTAGGTCCAGGAGGAGTTGTAATGAAAGCACACGGCTGTTGTATAAACTCCAACGTGATCCTTTGGATTTGTACTGGGGTAAGTTACACTCTTTGTTTTCAAAGGGTAAATGTTTGTTATGTTCCTCTCAAAGGGCTACACAAAAATCCCAGCTCCATTTCAAGTAGATTGTTGCTTCTTAACAAACTGGGGGCTATGGCTTTCTGGATATGTCCCTTTTTTCAAAAGTGGAAAATTATAGATAAACCTCTACTCAGTTTTCTGTTACACAATTTAAAAAAACATGAGTTTTCCTGCAACTTCTAAATTATCTGTTGTTTCCCAACTCTGTGAAATTTGTGTATTTCAAATACATTTTTTAAACTTTTCATGACATGAAAACTTTCCCTCAAAATCCAGGAAGATATTGAATTCATGCTGACTTGTTTACATATGTTGACATTCTATTAACAATACTGCTGCAATTTAAATAACTGTGTATAGAAAGTAGAACTATTATTGTATACCTAGTTTTATGACACACGCACAATATTTTCCTTCTATTAAAAAAAGGAAATTCTCAAACAAAAATTTGTATTTAATATTAGTTTAAGGTTTCCTTCAGCAATAAACTAAAATATAAAAAATTCAGAAATTCACAATACACATTGTGTATTTAAGGGTTAAAAAGCTGCAGTCAAACACTCCCAAATTAGGAAATGCAAGAATGAACATTGCCCATGAAATCTTAATTCAGTCCTCCTGTTTGTATGCACTACGATACAGCCTTTAATTACCACCACCCTGGAGACTTGGATTATTTTCCTGCCTCTGCCACCAAGTTCCTATGTGTTGCTCGGCAAGTCACTTGCACCAAACTTTTCACAGGTAGTCACTTCTACATGTAATTAAAGACTGTACCATAATTAATATACAAGAAGGCTGAATTAAGGTTACATTGCATGGGCAACATTAATTCTGGAGTTTCCTAACTTGTGTGTGTCTGACTTTGCAGCATTTTAATCCTTCATTTTGTATTTCCTAATCTGTTATGGTTTCGTTTATTGATGAGAGCTACCTTAAATATTAACAAGAGGTTTTTTCTCCCCTCTATATATATATATATATATATATATATAGTTTCTGGCCCTAATGATTACAAAGAAAGTCTTCTAAATGTGAACAGAGCACAACCCAATGTTGTGGTGAGAATCTGCAGCAGACAGAGGGTCTGTGGTAATAGCCATAAGAGAGATCTGAACTCCCCTCATTCATCTTAATGGGGTGCTCACTGAAAACTGTGTTTAGAGGACAATTCAAGTCTCACCATTGTTTACAGTTTATTTTACAGGCATGAGGTATTGGAGGAATTCTGAGCCTCTTCATATCCTGGGGAGATGAGAACAGGAAATCCCAGATAAGCAGAGACCCAGAGAATCTACTACATTGTCTCTGCAATAGCCAGTTTCATCTCACCTTGGTCTCAGCTACCCATCTGACTGAGTATTGCAAGGCACAAAAATACCCAAAAGAGAACAGATGGCTCAGAGGACTGCAAGCAAGTTACTCCACAGATGAGACCCAAGAGACAGTGATTGACAAGGAAAAGAGTCAGGTCTCTCTGAAAAGTTTGTTTTGTAAAATTTAACATTAAAAAGTCTTTTTTAATGTATTATCTTCTTTCCTCCTTTTAAAAACACCTTTAGAAATCTTTTGGAGATAAATTAATGTGTTTTTATTCTGATCTGCCACCGGGCTCCCTTCCGCCCCAATGCAGTGACCAGGAAAGAGAAACTCAGGCAGGGAAGAAGCAGGACCAGGGAAAGGATCTAAAGGTGAGAAGGGAAAGTTGGAGGGAAGAGACACTAGGGGTGGGAGTGAAAGCAGAAGGCTCCAGAATGGCAGAGAGAGGAAGCAGCAAGGTCCCAGGCCAAGGAGATGGGGGGATGGTTTGGGGAGGGAGGAAAGTTATTAGCCCCAGAGGGGAGCAGCAAGCTCCGGAAAGGGAAGTAGGCTCAAAGATTCCAGGCAGGAGAGCGAAGCAAAAAACCAAGGGCTGGTGGGTTGCGGTTGAGGTGTGTGTGTGTGTGGTGGTGGGGTACTAAAAGCTCTAGGTGCAATAGAGTTTATTTACTATGCGGCAGAATTGCACCTCCCATCTTCAGGATCAGATTTTGCCTGAATTATACCCTTCGCAACATCAATGGTTTTATGCAAACTATTTTGGCCAAATCCTAGTTCCCTTTGTTATACAAATAGCTTCATTTGCTTCTCATTGTACTCACATGAAGGAGTTGTTTTTGTATTTTTTAATAGAGCCTTATTACGGAAAGGATGATTTACAGAAGCTGTTGTTGGAAACGCCTTGTGTCATTATTTCACTGCCGTTGGTCATTTCTAACGTCGTTTGCTAACTGGTATGTGTGTATCTGAACTGGTGGGAACCTATCCATGCAATTCCCACACTGCTGCCTGCTTGAAAACCATCCCAGAAACCCGATTCTCCACTGCCTTACACCAGTTTATGCTCATGTAACAATGGAATTGCACCAGCATAAAATTTGTGAAACAGTGGACAATCGGGCTCTGAAAGTACATCTACTACAGAATTCAGCTGTCCACTGAAGTCCTGATCCTGCAAAGACTTAAGCACAAGTGTAATAGGGACTGCTCATTAAGGTTGAGTATGTATGGAAGTGTTTGCAGGATTGGGGCCTTGCTTAGTGTTTCCCACAGAAAGCACTTTGCCTCAATGCTCTGGAATCTGCATTGACTTCCAATCCATTTCCATGTGCTGGGTTTAATTTAAAAGTCCTTTGTGGTTGGCGTTCTGACTGCATCTCCCCTTCATGCTTCCCTGACAGTGGAGATCAGCTGAGGCACTCAAGCTAACAGTCCAAATATTTCCATACAAGGAGTATGGGAATGAAAAGCCTTCAAATGTGGAATTTTTCCCTTCCATCCTGGTGGAGTCTGAGTTTGTGACCTTTTGGGGCTTTCAGCAAGTCTCATTTATTTACACTTTAGGGGTGGAGATTTGAGGCTTGTGGGGTGAGAGGAGGGTTGTTTGTTTTTTGGTGTGCGGATTTCTTTGAATCAACACTGAGTCAATTATTTCATTTTTTGTGATCGTGCATTGTTAGAATCTGACATGGGATGAGACATTGTGGCAAGTAGAAAAGGAGGACTTGTGGCACCTTAGAGACTAACAAATTTATTTGAGCATAAGCTTTGTGAACTACAGCTCACTTCATCGGATGCATTCCAAACAGATTTAATAATTTTATTAAGATAATGTTGAAGTAAAAAGAAAATGGTACAGAGTTTAGGCATAGAAGTTTCTGGTTATCAGGGGAAAAGGTACAGATTATCAAGGGGTGCGAAATTCGGTTTAGGAGTGGGTGGCATAAGGAATACATAATCTGCAATCTCCCCAGTTGGGGGTAAAAGTTTAACGGGTCAAAGTATAGACACTGAGCTATGGGGGTATTTTGTCTATATAATGGCTATATTCAGGTGTGGAGTGTGGAATGCATCCGATGAAGTGAGCTGTAGCTCACAAAAGCTTATGCTCAAATAAATTTGTTGGTCTCTAAGGTGCCACAAGTCCTCCTTTTCTTTTTGCGAATACAGACTAACACAGCTGCTACTCTGAAACCTATCATTGTGGCAAGTGTATTTTCAAACTCTGAACATATGCATGTACATATATGCATCTGGGAGTTCCTTATCCCATACATTCTCAACTGAACAAACACAGTAATGCTTGTTATAACATCTATCCAGATAATTGATGACTTACCCCTAAGGCTTACGCATGTACACCCAGAACAGGACATGCTCCAGTTTTCCATTGTTGATGTCCGATCATCATTTTGTTTTAGTGTAGGGAATGGAATGTCAAGGGAAAACGTTGCCATTGAGCAGAATCAGGGTATTTTCATTCTTGGATGTGTGTAACAACACATGGAGGTGAGCCTGAGTGATTCAGTGTTCAGGTCCAGATTCAAGCGTCTGCAAAGTTTGAGGTGTTCACATCTAGAAATTTAGTTTGACCTGTAACAGAGAAAGGGTCAAGTCCCAAAGTTTGCATCTGGCACAGAATTCCCCCCGAAATCCGGAGGTGTTTAGATTCAGGAGTTTACTTTGGCTGACCTCCCTCCAGCTAATAAATAAACCATAAAGGCTAATGATGATGAGCCCTTAATCTATTCCACATACAAATCCATCCTACCTAGTCATAACAGTCAAGAATCCTGCGATTTTCTGTAAAACCTGGATTTCTTCAGTTCCGAGCCCCCTCATCCACCCATTAAAATCAGAGCCAAAAGCTCCTATTGGCGTTAATGAGAGTGGGATCTGGCCCACATTTGAACATTTCTCCCTTGCAGTAGTTTGCCTTACTGGCATTTTCTTCTCTTCTAAGCACACAAGGGAGGCCTCTGCTGGTCACAAAAGGCCTTACATGGCTCTCAGTGACTTTACTTTCACTTTATTTACTAGTCAGTGACCTCGCTGTTCATCCAAGCAGGGAGACAACTTTTTCCCAGTTTTACATATTTCAGACATAACAGGAAAGCCGTGAAACCCATGGACGATGCCCTACTGGACGTGTAAGTGATCACATTTTTGTATGGAATGTTTTCAGCAGAATGAATGGTTTGACTTTCAAAGTCAGAAGAAGCAAAACAACAGATCATGAAGAACAGAGAGAGGAGGGGTAAGGGATTGGGCAGAGGAGTGGCTGGTAGTTTGATGAATGCTGAGATTTTTCCTTTTGGATTCTGGTTTGCAAATCGTCAACTAACACTTGTTGCTGGGAGTTTAGTATGTAATCTGATCATTGAAAAATCACGGTCAGCTGATGGTTGTCAGTGCTCATTTTATTTTCTGAATACAGACAGAGATTTCATTTTAGACACTTCCTGCACTACCCTATCCAGCTGGGAAAACAAGAAATCTTACTGTGATATAATGCATAACTGATAGTATGATGTATTTTCTCATTCTGATTCGAGGTGACAATGGCAACATTTAAGAAATAAAATAATTAAATTAAATAAAACAAGTATTTCCGCTTAGCAGAGCGGAAAAATCAGTTGTCTCCTTTGAGATTAGCTAATCAGGAAGTAGGAATGCTTGTCCTTTAAACTGTTACTGTGGAAAATAAAACACATTGGTTGGCAGGTCATTTATACTGTTTGCTGAATTAGGAGATAAAAATCAAAGATGAATCTCTGCTTAGGAAAATAATTGGCCTCCACTGACATAGCATGGCTGTCATCGGCAGGGAGCAGGGGAGCTGGAAATTGCAGCTCTTAGATGTAGCAGTTTTGAAATGAGCATTATTCTACTCCTAGGCTGTAATGGTTTTGAAGTGGTATTAAGCTTACAGAGGGATACTTATATTAATACTGAAAATGCACATACCATATCCAGTTAGGCTCGTAGACTATCATGGATCTGGCTCTGGGTGGGTTTTCCATTGCGATGCTCCTGCCCCCTACGTGATGCCTATGGATATGTTTGGTTGTCTGTAGCACCTGGGCATACTTTTCATTGTGTTAACACGATGCATATGTTTGATTGTCCATACTGAGTGGTTTTGTGTCCACTGTATGACTCATTCTGACTGGCCAATCCAGACTGGGTCCCCAGAAGAGTTCTCTTTACCAGTAAATAACCTAATTGTGATTAGACTTACAAAAGTCATATCCATTCATATGCTGAAAGGACATCTACATTGGATTGGAACTCCTCTGTCTTTCTGAAGGGTCTGTCATGCCGGAAGGATATTAATTTCTAAGCTGAGAGGTAAAAACAAGCTGGGAGCTAGAGCACTGGAAACAAGAATCAGGGAATTAAAATGATCCTGAAGACAGCTCTTGATTCAGGGCCCAATCATCTCCCTTTCCTCAAATCTTGCCTCCAGCACACAACATAAGCAGTTGGGCTGTGCACTGGGGATCTCTCTAGGACATGGGTAGTCGGTAGATGGACGGGGGGCCAAATCCAGACCTCCAGACACTTTTGAATGGACCCCAGAATTTTTTCATTTACTTATTATCATTATTGTTGTTTTTATTATTAATTATTATTATTATTTATTATTATTTTCTCTGGAGTCTGGGCTGTGACTATACCTTTAACCAAGAAATGTGAACCTTGACAAAAAATAATTGACTACCCCTGCTCTAGGAGCTGGGTGGGGGTGATGGGAGTAATTCTTCCTCCACAAGACCACGGAGTGACAGCAGAGCCATTCTGCAGCTAGTTCTCCATTCTCAGCCTGGGAACAGACTTTATGGTGCCCGCATGCCACACCATAAAGGGGGGAAACTGGTGGATTCACAGAGTGACAAAACCACTAGCCCCACCCAGCCTCTGTATGGCAGCATAGTGGGGCCTGGGCTCTGTAGCACACTGGAGATGCATACCCCCTCTGCAGGCTCTAGAAATCCTGTCCTCCCACATAGGGGCTCTTCCGTGCAGCACAGAATCTCCCCCAGTATCTTTTGTTAAACGATCCAGAAGTTAAAAAGTGAAGATGGGTCTCAACTGTATCCTCAGATCTAAACATCCCAAACAGTGAGGCATGTTGGTGCCATGTACAAACACTGCCGCTCTGAGCTG